CCCCATTGCATACAAACTTATGATCTGCTGAAAGACAGGCAACATGGTATGTGGCTTCTTCAATTCTTTTTTCTTTTTTTTAAAACTACATAAAAAAGAAATAAGGCAGCTTGGGTCTACACTTTTTAACCAAGGAGAAAAAAAAATCAGTGAGGAGTTCCTAACTCCTTCAAGTTCCTGATCGCATTTTTCACCTGTAGGAAGTGTTTTGTTCAGTCAATGTTTCTAATCAAAAGAAAACAAACCCTTGCCTTTCTTCTCCCCCTGTCCCAAATACCTGTTGTTACATCTATTGCTGACTTGAACAATGCATCTGAATGCTCTCAGCAGACAGGGGTCAGTGAATTCACACTAAGGAGTAGTAGGCCCTATAGGAAAAACTGTGGCTATAGCAATAACTTGCTTTTCTGGGTTAGTCACAATTAAGTCAACAGTAAAACACAAGAAAGACCATGTAAAAATTTTGGGGCAGGGAGTTGTGCTCTGTTCCACATTGCCCTAATGCACGACTATCACTTGCAAATATTTTTGCAGAGCATACAGTGCCAGTTGGAGAAAAATCTGCATTTAAGTAGTTGTTCTGTGAGAGTCTTGAGCAAAGGGTTGAATCCATCTTTCCTAAAGATTATGAAGCAGACTTCCAACTGGACTCACCTCTTGTAAAATGTGGGAACAGATAGTGTATTTAGATTATTGCAGAGTTGAAGCACGTGCTGACAACCAAGATGCAAAGGAGGAATAAACAATGACCTAAAACCATTCCTGTTCCATGGAGAGCCATAAATATGGGGAGGAAGTTGCTGAGTAAGGCACTAATGCAGCAAGTGGTAGAAATGAATCAAGATGCAGTGCCACTTTTATAGGGCAAAAAAAGATTCAAGAGCAGACTGACTGAGCGAAGAGATGAGGCTGAGACAAATTGAATAGAAGAGTTTTCTCAGATTAAGTGGCCATTCCCAGTGCAGCCAAATGCTATTAGTGAACCTATACAAGAGGAGTCATCTTTGATAGGGAGGGCATGAACAGTGTGAAGTAGTCTATGATAGCAGAAACCATTGTAGACCAAGTTAAGGTTACAAGCAATACACAGAAATTGAGTGGGAAACAAAGGTGACTTCAAAAACTGTATGTGGACATCCTCTTTTCCAGATTTGACCACTGGGGTTGGGTGAAAAAGTCTCTGCCAAAGGTTTTGAGCTTTCATAAAGTTTCTCATGTGAATCAGGATGAAAAGTAAACACCAGAAAGTGATGAGAGTACTAACAAGCTTCACTGCCTAGACCAGACAAAACACTAGCTTTTATATTGTGATTGATTTCAATCTTCACCTTTTTATTTTGCAAACCTTTTCAGTATGAATTAACTAAAATTGGGAAAATAACTTGCAGATTTTTCAATTTACAAACTGTCAAAACAGAGCGTGTCAGACATTTTCAAAAGTGACTTAAAAGCATTTTAAATTGAGGACTTTTGTGTCTTGCTGTTTTTCTTTAATTACGCTCCTGTAGTGCCTGACATAATTTTTGACAGCTTTTCATTTTCTGACCATGCCCCAAGAGTGTTTCATTCCAGAATTTCCCAGTTATCACTGCTGGCTGTGGTATTGCAACAAACGGTGCCTACAGCCCAGGTTCAGGAGCAGACAGGACCCTCATTCAGTGCCTGCCTGACCTGAAGTACATGCCAGCTGGGTGTCTCTTTACGCCAGGGCTATTTTTGGTGGGCAGTGCTCCCAAGGCAGTATGAAAAGGACTCTGTTGGAAAGGACGTGTGGGCCTGGTTCTCCATTGTCAAACACCTGTATAGGTATTTCCACGATAAAACATGGGTGTGAAATAAAGTAGTTTGCACTTGCCTCCTTAGGGTAAATGGCAACTAAACCAGTGTCTTCATTTTCTTTTCTTTCTGTTCTGGGCAGATAGAGGCATGACTACTGTTTTATTTCTGTTTTGGTCATAGGTACCTGTGCTGAATAACTTGGAATATTTAATTTGCTTCACTGGTTGTATTTTTCTCTCCTGTTCCCCAGGTTTGAGTGACTTTACAAGGTGCTCAGGGGACAGTGAAGAGTCCAGCCCCATGGTCAGATTTTCCTTGTCTTTCCACTCACCGGCAAAGCTGTACGAAAGCCAGTCGGAGCTGGCTGCATCAGTGATATGCAATCTCACAGCCTAGCCAGGTACAAATAACCCATTTGTGTCAGTCTTGAGAGGTTTCTGAGGATTATTCTCTGTATCCTGAAAAGACGTGAAACCTAATGACCTGGGAAATCGTGCAGTGTGGGGGAAGCAGGTCCTTGCCAGGTGGAGGTGGCTGCAGCCAGGCCCTGGGGTGTTTGGAGAAATCTATCAAAGGCAGCTCCCCTTCCTAAATCCTGCCAAGGAAAAGGACCTTTTGAGCAGTGACATTCCTCCAGCGTTTGGCTGCCACTGGGTTTCATTTCACTGTGTTTTTTCCACCTGTTTTAAAACTGAAACATCACATCCAACAGAAATTTAGCTTGTTTGAAATGTGGACCTGAAAATAGAAAGGGGAGGCCTGTCACGGAGGGTTGTAACATTGCTGTAAAGTACTGTGTCTGCATGATGCTTGCTTTTCCCTAGTGGTATCCTCTGGGTTTGGGAAGGAGGAAAGAATTAATGGGACCAGAGAAACAGGAGAGTGATAATGTATAAAAACTTCATGTTCCCCAGCAGCGTTTGGGGTACAAACTGAGTCATTCCTGATCTAGCAAGGATCAGTGCCTTCTGCAGGGAGGTCGCGTGGGGAGCACACAAATCCTGCTCACACCACCAAGCCCTGTAGCATCATTTGCACAGCTGGAGATCTCTGCGTCTTCCCTACCCAGGGACCCCACAGATATCCATATATAAGATAAAGGAGAGTTACCTATCCCCATGTCTCAGAAGGGTGGATTTTGTTGGGAGGGAGTTACAGGAACACAAATGTAAGCTGGTAATAAAAGAATCACAGGACTCGGAGATAAAAGGCTACCTCAAAGCATGATCATTGACATAACTGCAGGTACATAATTCCTGACAGGCACTCACTCCTTGCCTTCCTGCTTTTGCAAAGGATGCTCTTAAAGTATTGATACATTGTCTGTCTCCCTGGTTAGAGGAGAAGTGTGGACTAAGCACAACTTTACCAGTCATAGAATCATAGAAAGAACGGTTTGGGTTGAAGGGGACCTTTAAAGGCTATCCAGTCCAACCCCCCTGCAGTGAGGAGGGACATCTTTAGCTAAATCAGGTTGCTCAGAGCCCTGTCCAACCTGACCTTGAATGTTTCCACGGATGGGGCTTCTGCAGCTCCGGCTTGGCAGCAGCTTGTGTTCAGCCCCAGGCAAGGCAGCTGACCTTGCCCTCCCTTTGAGCTTGTTGAGGGCTTGCATGATTTTAAAAATTATGGTAGTCTATTGGAAGAAATAGAAAAAAACCCCCTAGGACTAGCCTGAAAATTTGAGCTAGTTTTGGGTAAATGTCAAGGTCTCCCAAGCAGTTCACATTTTTCTGGTCACAGGCAGTCCTTACCATCACTTTAAACAATGACTCCAGAAATCGAAATTTTATGTATAATTAGTGCTCACAGGCTTCAGGGCTGTCATAAGGCTGAGGGTTATAAAGACAAAAAATGCTGTTATATATCTCAAATCCACAAACCATTATTGTCAGTCTTAGTATTGATGAGTCCCTCAGAGTTGAGGGCTGTCACAAGCTGTTGGTTTATTTTTGTTTATGGGATTTTTCATATCTTCATGCCAAAACCAGCTCCTGAGCATACTGCCCGGTGTTGGGCCCAAATACATGCAATGTATTTGGAAGCCACATGCTGGATTCTCCAACCACAGCTACACACATTTGAAAGGCAAAGTTAATGGTTTAAAGTTAATTTAGGGTTCTTTATTTATGTAAGTGATTACAAGACAATGAATTCTTATGAAATATTACCTTTTGTTCATAAAAAAATACTGTGTAAGAAAACTCTGGGTCTGGATATTGTTCTGTTCGGTGCAAAGGACAGATTGTTGGCATTCCT